CATCCTCCACCAAGGACCTTTTTTAGTGACAACGGAGATTACAAGTAAAAATCTTTAATTTTCTTCTTAAAAAATTATACTGTGTATTCCTAAAATACATATGTAGTATAAATATACTCTTAAATTTTTAAAACAGTTGATACAGTTGTTTTGTTTTTATTGTGAATTCTCAAAAATAACCTTGCTACATTAGGTGTGCCCCTTAAAAGTTTTTTAATAATATGAAAACCAAAATTTTTAAAATTTTATAAATAAATTTTTAAATTCATGAATTAATTTTTGCAGCAAGTAAAGGGTTAAAATGAAGTTTAAAATTATTCGCGGAAGGGAAAGATGATTTGGTAAATATTTACTCAAGTGTTTTGCAATATGTTTTGTAAATATGAGTATATTGTATAAATATTATATACAATAATATTATGACATTTTTAATTTAAGTACATATTTACATTTCTAAATATATATGTATGTATATATATAGGTATGAATATCCATTTGTGACTTTTAATGCCTGCATTCTATTCTTGTATCATTATTGGCTATACATTTTGTGTAATTGACGTTAAGACTTCAAAACCGAAGAGAAATAATTTAACGGAAACTGCATATCACAAACATAACGATTAAAAGAGAAATTTGAGCTGAGTTGAAAAGGCTGCAGTTTTCATTGATCACTTGATTGGGCGGTTGGTGGACCGGGTTGGTTGACTCGCTTGCAACTAAAAGGCGCACTCGCAATAGCTGCGTTTGTGTGTGCATTTGCGCACCGCTCAATGAAATGATAGCTAAGTATGTATGTATGTGCACAATTGTATTTTGAAGCACCATTGAACGCTGGCAAATTGGCACTTGTTGACAAAATTTTAATTAAGAAAAAATGCAAAAACAAATTCACGCAAACACAGGGAGCGTAGAAATGAAGTGAATGAATTGACTAAAAACTAGTAATTGATTAGTTCTAGCGAGAAATACTTGTATACATTTACGACCATATGCACATATTACGGTACATATTTAGGCATAGTAAGCGTGTAAGCAGCATACAAGTGCGAGTGAATGGTAGAGTATTGAGCGCTTGGAGAGTCGATATACGGCTCCAACTTAACTAAACCCCACTCGGACTTCATGCGCTTAACGGCTTGACAGTTAGAGCTTGTACTTAACTTATGTATAAATATGTAAGTGCTCATAAACACTAAAATGTGTGCTCATGCACTCGATTTTCGCTATGACTATTGGATAACAACAACACTTGCGCATATAACTTACTGACGGATAAGAGCGTTTAGTATCGGTTTAGTTGTGTTCTAAGCCGTTTTTGTTTGTCGTGTTTATTGTAGTTGTTGATTTTTAATCTTAATGAGCATATACATACTTTCAGCAGTGAGGGTGTTTAGGGCTTTTCCGGCTCAACTCCACTGACATTCAAATTACAATAAAAGAGCTGGGGGTTTTCGTGCTGTGAAACAGTCGTCGTTTGAACACGGCTGCTGACGGCTGACAGTTCAGTGTGTGGATCGAGTTTGCATTAATTTTTATTCGTGTGCTGTTTTTTTGTTGTAAGTTTTTCGTTGTGATGGTGGTACGAATTTTATAAATACCGAATATGTGCATTTAAAAACAAGTTAATTATCTGAAATGCACGTGTGAGTGTAAAAAAAAATTCATCATGTAAATATAGTTGGGATTTCGCAGACACACATACACACACGCATGCATGTACATATGTATATGTGGATTTAATGTGTTAAGCGCAGCAATAAAGCAAGAGGCTCGGACGCTTGAAATATGCGTGCACTTGTCGAAAGCGATTGAGATCATACAGAAAATATAAAAAAATAAAACAAACAAAATAAAATGAACGCTGGTGGATGCTTGCATTTCCTAAGTGTTTCAAGGAATATAATAACATAAAAACGTTGGCAAATAAAAATTTGTAACAAATAAAAAAAATTAACAAATAAAAATATTATATTGTAAATAAAAATTAAAATATACATAAACTACACACCGACGAGCAAATGGCATGATCTGTATATTTTTTTAAATATTACGTCTTGCAAAAACTCAAAAATTTAATGACGTAAACAATTTTTATAATAAGTAAAAAAATAAATATCGATAAAAATCATCTCAACAGCTGAACCACATAACTAAGGGAAAATAATAAAATTTGGTTACAACAATAAAAATATCATCAAACATGTATTTTTTTTTTTAATTTTCTTCAACACGTGTAACTGTTATATTGCGCTTGTTTATTGTTGTTATTGCTGCAATTTTCTTGGCTCTGATAAGTTGCCACATTTGGCGCTAATAACGCGTTTGTGTTGTTGTTCTTCGCGTTTTATGTTGTAGTTGCATTAAATCAAATGGACATTTGTTGTTGTATTGCCTGTTGACCAAACTTTCGAAGCATGGACATGTTTGTACAGCCTGTTTGAGTGCGCGACTCCTTGTATAAGAAGTACACAAGTGTATTACAGTAAATTCAAAGGCAACTGACCATGTTCAATGTTCGATAGCGCATAGTTAAGTGTCTTTAAGTCAAGCTGCCATTTGGGGTGTTGAACTATGCATAAATTTGGTATTATTTGAGATATGGCAATATTAGGAATGAATTTTAAATTTTTCTTCTATATTTCTTTCTAATTTCGTTATTTCTTGTACGTTGAAAATAAAATAAAATAAAATCGATAAGTCAAATTTTTGTATGTAGATATATAATATATATAAATACCAAATTTAGTAAAGTCATCTCTTCAAATAAAATATTTTTTCATACAGGAGCTTAATTTTGACTGTTCAGCTTACATGGCAACTATGCATATGCAATGATGGTTTCAATGCTTTGGAAAATTACCCAAGCCAAATTTCGTGAAGATATCTCTAATTAAATGAAAAAGTTTTCCCTAAAAGACTTGATTCCAATCGTTCAGTTTGAATGGCAGCTATGTTGATGCCATAGTGATCCGATCTGAACAATTTCTTTGTAGGTTGTACCGTTACTTCGGGCAATAATTCATGCAAAATTTCGTGAAGATAACTCGTCAAATAAAAAAGTTTCCCAAACAAGCGCTTGATTCCATATGTACCTATATACTTAATAACCAACCTAACAAACTTTGTTTCAAACTTAATACATCCCATTCAGGGAATAATAACAGCAAACTGCGTGCGATTTCTGATTACTTGATATGGAGCTTACGTCGTTGTCAAAAATACCAATAGATGATTGCTAAATTTAGTAAACAATACATTAAAGCAATATTATATCTTTACATTTTCAAAAGGTGGGTCAAAATTTTAGTTGTTTGCCTCGCGGCCAAAAAATCCAATAGCAGTCCAGAATGTATCTTATAATATATATATACCTACATATATGAACATATACATATACTTTTTTGTGGTACTATGATAAAGTCGAAAACTTAACACAACAACTTTTTTAGAGTATTTTTTATAGGAATTAAGTTTAAAATCACTGCCGGTGTATTAGGTACGAAATTCCTTATAAGAAAACCCACCAAAATTGATGCCTTGGCAATAGTCTAGGTAAATATCAGAGTTTTAACTTCTAACTTTTTAGAAGAGTGAGTTTATAAAAAGGTACCCGGTAAAGGGGAAGTTCGAGTTATTCTTTCCGATATGTCTGTTAAAAATGTATCAGTTACAAGTATGTAATAGGTTTAATCAGAAAGAGGAATGAATAGCACAAATACACGTGTGACCTAATCTATCTCACTGCCCAATATTTAATGTCTCATAAACTATTAAAATGTCTAAAGAAATTGTCTTTAAAAATTGAACGACACAAGCAAAAGTTGTACGTATATGTTTTCAATCAGGATAAGGGAATTTCAATTTTTACTTTCACTCACCGACATTGAGAACTAATCCATTTCAAAATAGTTCTAAACTAGTACATCAACAATTACCATCAAATACTTAGAGCTACTTTCCCTCTTTCGAGGACTCCAAACTGACTTTACTGCCTAGTGTTTACGAGTACTTGAGATAGTACCATTTGTTTTACGATTGTTTTGTGTGGATTTTTTTGTTATTTATTCCATAAAAGTATATGACTGTAAATGTCACTTGCTGGTCCTACAATATACCGAAAGCAGACATACAAATATAAGCGAATTTTTTCTCTGCACGCAACATGTGTGCGTATTATTGAACTCCCCGACTAACCATATATGTATATGTAGTGTAGGACTATATACAAACTTTTATACATATGTCTGCAAGAATGTTCGTTTGCGCAATTATATGGTTCCATATAGTAGATGTATCCCATTATCTCGACTTTTAATTGCTCACGCCCGCCACTACTATATGGACTACACCAGCAAGACGGTTGTCGAATCACATTATAGGCCATAATTACATATGTACACATATGAGTAAGCAAATAATTGTATATACATAAGTACGTAATCTCATATTTGCGGATTTTAAGTGCGCACGAATTGATATGTCAGCCCGATATTGTATATGTATATGTGTGTACATATAATATAATGTGTAGCTAGTAGAACTGTTTTATTGACTCCTTTTCTTTTATTTTTTTTTTTTTTTGCTTGTTGTTTATTTTTGTAATGGTTGTTTCTTTTGCCATTTCTCAAAACCACTCATTCATGGTAGCGGAGGCAACAATTGTGGCGCTGAAAACGCACCAGAGCAGTTTGCAGCAGATCGTCAAACGGCTAGGGACACTAGGGAATGATCGGCAGCACCTCACAGTTGGTTCAGTTAACTGCACTGCGCGATCGCAAATATACGATCAATAGTACATAGTTAATAACCAACGTTACTTGTAGTTGGGAAGCAATTGGTTGTATGGACGAGTTTGCGATTTGCCACAACGCGGCGCAGGAGTGAGTACCGGGTAGAGTTGATTTGTGGGGCAATGCCTCCTTTTGTGTATGTAGTTTGTAGTATGTGTTGCGTTGCTTGTAAGTTATTGAACTTAAGTGTTTTTGTCGCATCGATTGATTTATATAGGAGCATGTGATTGCGTATTTGTATGCAATTTTTGCATATGTATATATGTGTGTAACATGGCTTGATTGCTTGTTTGATCGACTGGTTGGTGGGCTTGGTTAACGAGCCAGCTTGCCTATCCAGTCAGTCGGTTAGTGAGTTAGTGTGGTAGGTTGATTTATAAATGGCAATATGCAGCATAAGTAGACACGCACACATATATTCATACATACATATAGTCATACATACAATACAAAGATACATAGGTACGATCATACAATGTGTGCCCCAAAAATAACCGAAGTTTATATTAAATTCATACAAAATTTACGTTACCTACTGAAAATTTGCAGTATTAAAAGATACACTTATCATGTCTAAAGTCATCTAAATTCATGGAAATCGGTGGCAGCTGTTGAAGTTACAGCTATTTCAATGAGAGAAAAATTGTGAAACTTGCAAAAAAAAATTCGCTGAGGCATATTTACGAATCAATAAAAAAAGACTATGGTGATAATTGTGTGAGTCGTACTCAAGTTTAAACGTGGTTTACATGCTTTAAAAATGTTCGTGAGGATTTAAATAGCGGTCAAAGGCCAGGTCGTACAAAAGCTATTAATCGTGTTGAATTGGTGGAAAAGTGCAAATTTTACTACGAGAATGTGGGCTGAGGGATAAAATACGAACATAAACACTATTTGGAGAATTTTAACTGAATGTTTGGGTAAAAGGGTCTGTGCGCTTTTTGTTCCACATAAATAATATGGATTACCAAAAGAGTGAATGAGTTTGTAATGAAAAAACGGATTTCTTTCTATACACTCTCTCCGTAATCGTCTGATCTATCACCATGTGACTATTTCATTTTTTTAAAACTGGAAAGCAACATGAAAGGAGCATTTTATGATGATATCTCAGCCATTCTAGCAACAGTAATCAATGTGCTGAAACACATTCCTATAAATGATATAAAAAAAATGTACGCATGCGCTGGTTGATCTTTCCAAACATTGTATTGAGTTTAATGGAACCTGTTTTGAATAAATAATAACTTTCAAAGATTGCATTTTATTATTGTATATAAATGTAATTATAATAATTTAAAATATAAAAAGTTCGGCTATTTTTAGGACACACCTTGTACGTACATATAAAAAAACATACATACATATGTATGTTAAGATTCTTGTAAACTGCTTGTTGAAAGCTTAAATGCTCAAAAAAATACACATCCTATGCATATATTCCTCATAAATTGCTGTGTATTGTATATGTGTGGAGCTAACACGGTTTTTGCGATTTCTTGCGATGCTTCTTGATGTCTATCACAATGTTACTTTCTGCAAACACTTGAGCACATACATACATACATACATACGTACCAATATGAATGGCGTGCACACTTCTCGATATCTTGAATAATTTTTTTAAAACCTGTGCAAATACGGCTAACATAATAAAAACAACAACAAGAACAACCTATAAAAAGGCTTATACATACATACATAAATATGTATATAACTAAAAAGCAATAACAAGAACAACAATCACTCCATAATAACTGAGAAACGCATGGCCAACAGCAAAAACAATAAGACAAAAACAATTAAAAAGTATAAATAAGATTTTAAGACACAACAAAACCAACAACTTAAGTAGTCGCGGAGCGTAAATGCGCAAAGCAATAGCAAGAACAACGACCATAAATATTGATACAAACCAATCAAACACACATATGCATGCACACACACAAATTATCATACCAGCAAAACGTAAAACGAAAAGGAATTAAGCAAAAATCTAAAAAAATAGCAAACATTGCAAAAAAAATAACAAAGGCAAAAATAAAAAATTAAAAAAGCCAACAAAAATATAAAAAAAATAAAAAAAATAAAAAAATGTATAATGGACAAGCCACGCTTATCGCGTACCGTATAAAAACGTAAGACGGTACAAAATTATCTCTCATTTGTAAATTAACAATCCATCGATCCAGTAGCGCTTTTTTCCTGTTGATTTTTTTGCGGTTTTCAGCTCGTAATTAAATATCACAATTTTTCTCCAGAGTGTGTTTGCTATTTTTGTTGCATTTAAAACAAGTTTGAATTATTCCACAATTAAACGTTGCTAAATTGAGTTTACCAAGTTGCTTCTATTGTTGTTGTTGTTGTGAACACAATACACAAAGGATCAAAATATATAAAGAGCTTTATAAAAAAAATATATATAATAAAATATAAACAGCGTTATAAAAAATTAACAAAGCTTAATAAAGATCAATCGGTACAAAAATCGCTAATAAAAGAGTAACAACGAAAATTTCGTGTTCCGGCTAAAATCCTGTCAAAGCAATTCAACAAAGCAAATTGAAACCTGAAATAAGCAAATAGTCATCAACTTCAAATAATTTACACAAACAAAAATCGAGAGAACAAACTACGCCAATCGCAAACCGTTCAAGGCTAATCGCTAATTACCTTACCGGCTAATCGCATCGCTAATCAAACGTCTCTTTTACGCTTACCAATACAGTGTAAACGCTTTCATTACGCTCCAGCTATTTGTCTGTTTATTCCCCGTTTAGCGTACTATCTGCGTCCTTGCTCTCTTGCTTTATTTTGCTCACGCTAATATTGTGCGAAATTATCCTGTGTTAAGGATAATTTTACGTTATTTCCGTCAAATCAACAAATTTATTAATCTACGCCATCTGCTACAGTTTATTATTTAGTTGGAAATTTTGAGCTCGGAAATAGAAATCAAAGCGCAATCAAACTCTTGAAACACACACACCTTTAAACGATCAAGACAGCGGTCCGGCTTGTGAAGCCCCCGTCAAAGGAGCGCAGTTTTTGCTGTCGCAGCAGTTTTCTTATTTACCAAACTGGAGAATACGAGGTATACGCCTGTCTATACAACAGAAAGAATTAAAATGACGCAACAGCCGGAGTGGGGAATACGAATTTCGAGGTGTAAGTACATCGAAATATTATATATACATTTAAAATTTTTTAAGTATTTATGGAAATATGTTAGATGGGCTTAAATCGACTTGAGTTAATTAGAACTACTTGAGTTATGCTGAACAGCTTAATCAAGGCTTAACTATATGCTTTAACTTAAAGAATGACTATAGATTAGTGCATTCTAATATTAATAATTTAGAGTTAGTTGATTTGCAAAGATTTTTGTTCGACATCAAAATATACACCTTAGCTTAAGTCTATTTAAGCTATTTTAACATATTGTAAACAGTTAAGAATTACACTTTGATAATCGGCCGCAATCTGCTTGAGCAGCCGATTTTCCCTTAAATAATTTACGGGTTGAATAATTAGTTTGTATTAAACCCAATTGGTGATTCTGAACTAGAAAATTTCGGATCAAACTTTGCAACTTTAAACTTTTGCTATAGAAAAATATCAAGTATGAAATTTTATACTAAATAAAATTTTTTTTTCATATTTTTATACTCTCGCAACCTGTTGCTACAGAGTATAATAGTTTTGTTCACCTAACGGTTGTTTGTATCACCTAAAACTAATCGAGTAAGATATAGGGTTATATATATATAAATGATCAGGATGAAGAGACGAGTTGAAATCCGGGTGACTGTCTGTCCGTCCGTCCGCGCAAGCTCTAACTTGAGTAAAAATTGAGATATCTTTATGAAACTTGGTAGACATGTTTCTTGGTACCGTGAGACGGTTGGTGTTGCAGATGGGCGTAATCGGACCACTGCCACGCCCACAAAACGCCATTAATCAAAAACAAATAAATTGCCATAACTAAGCTCCGCAATAAGATACAAGACTGTTATTTGGTACACAGGATCACATTAAGGAGGAGCATTGGGCGTGGTCCCGCCCCTAATAAGTTTAATGTACTTATCTCCTAAATCGCTAATGCTATAATAACAAAATTCACTGGAAGCAAATGTTTTTAGAACCTCTACCTACAGTGTGAAATTAGTTGAAATCGGGTGGCAACTCCGCCCACTCCCATATAACGGTACTGTTAAAAACTACTAAAAGCGCGATAAATCAAGTAACCAACACGCCAAAGACATTAAATTTTATTTCTGGGATGGTACGAGATGACTTTATAGGAACCTCATTCAAAATTTGACAGTGGGCGTGGCACCGCCCACTTTTAGGTGAAAACCCATATCTTGAGATCTGCTTAACCGATTTCAACCAAATTCGGTGCATAACGTTCATTTCATATTTCTATGTCATAGTGCGAAAATGGGCGAAATCGGACTACAACCACGCCTATTTCCCATATAACACCATTTTCAATTCCATCTGATTCTTTCACTTTCTACTATGCATATCAAGCAAAAATGATTGTATCGGGGTAAAACTTTGCGTGAATAATGCGTTTGAAGTATGCCACCTTGTGACCAAAAATTGTCTAAATCGAGTCAAAACTGTTCAAGCCCCTAGGTAATGAATATGTGGACCCCAGTGCCTATAGCTGACTTTTTACCGAAAATATCGGTCAACATAGAACAAGGCGGCAAGGTCCACAAAGAAATCTAAAACGAGTATACCATTTGACTTTGCGAGAGTATAAAATGTTCGGTTACATCCGAACTCATCCCTTCCTTACTTGTTTCTCAATAAATTCGAATCGGTTTGTCAAGACTTATGGTGAACTTACTTGTATTAAGTGTTCATGACAGTTGGAGTGATTAGAAAGCAAAGATAATTTCTTTGAACTTTGAATCGAAAGTCTGCTAGACTATGAAAAGCCTTATATTTAATTAATTATTTTTGTTCATTTTAGAAAATAAAAAATACCTTTACTTTTTAGTTTTTTTGTCAAATAAAATTAAATTAACATTTTTTGTAAAAAAAAAAAATATATATATATACATATATATATTTTACTAATATATTGATATTTTTGCCAAATACGAGTACTTCGAACAGTTACAAAAAATCTATTAAAATTAGAGTTGTCAGATTTTTTATACAGTATTATCAAAAAAATAGATTGTGCTTATATATAATAGCTTAGTCTTTTTCAACACCCTCTTTCTAAAAAATGGTTACTTTGAGATTAAATTACAGAAGTGGTTCAAAATTGTATACATATGTAAAATCATTCTAATTAATATAAAAATGTATAATTGTTTATTATTTTTTGAAGAATAAAAGAAAATAAAAATGTATCGGCACCAATTAACAGCAATAACATCATATACTAGGTGTTAAGAATACAAGGGGTCTTTGTTTTAGCTTATGTCAACAGTGTTCAATGCCATTTTTTTTATTGTAGTCAAGTAACAATTTTGTTCTCTCTAACCTTTCTCTAACATATCACACATACAGTTTGGGTTCTACTGTGAATTCGACGAACAACCGCTTAAAAAAATGGTTTATGAATAAAAATTACAATTCCTCCTGAACATATTTCGTATATAAATATGTATGAATAGTTTTTAAAATTAGCACGATTCTGAATAAACGTCACTACCGTCTGTGACACAGAAAATAAACTAATTAACATACATAAAACTGAATTGTATATAATTAGCAATTAACTGAAATGAAATTCGATTAAGAATAAATTACTTAACTCAAGCTTACACACTTGGCAACTAAGAACATAAGTCAGGAAATAATTTGCTCGCTCATGACTGAAACCACAAACTGCCATGTTCTAATACTTTATATATATATATATATATATATATATAAAGATATATTATAAATATATATATAAATATATGTATGTAACCTTGTTATTAATTAATTATGTAAGCTTCGTACAAAAAATTTACACTAAAAACACGCGTAAAATTACAAGACATGCCGGCAAAAAATGTAAATTTATGCAAAGCACTTGCAATGCCGAGAGTCTTGATGTTTAAAAATTGGCTTCCCAAACTTAATTTTGTCAATTTGTTTAATTAAGGGTTATATATAGGTTATATGCAAGAAAATGATAAAATATTCTATAAAGTGAATATTTTTCCGTTACTAATTTATAGACATGAAGACATGAAGGATTGTGGTAAACATGTTCTGAATTTAATAATATGAAATTGAATTTAAAGAGAACATGAAAACAGCAGCAATATATTTTCACTCTTTCAATAAAGCTCTTGTACAATAAAGTTGGTATAACTTTTTGACCATTGACTTTGTCCTTCCATCTTTTCTTTAAAATTCAAATACAAAAAATATATTAAATATTTGCTTTAATAATTTAGAATATAAAGGTCATGTGCGAATGTAACGTTTTCGAATTTACCTTTACACACAAAACAAGCATCTTAGTAACAGTTGTATTTCACAACCCACAGTGAATGCTCTCTTCGGTGTTACTCATAAAAAATTCTTTTTGTGGGTTATCTAAAGTCGAGTACACAAGTCTAAACTGGTATGCAAACATATTTGGGCGTATGTCAAATCACACGACGCTGAAGCGACTCACATTTGCTTCAAATAACATTTCGCAAAGATTGTTGAACCGACTGGAACGTCAATCAAGACATGGGAAAATGGCAATAGAATTTTAAATGAATAAAGGGCGATAATGCGAAGCCTAACTGTTTGAGTGCAAACATTCTTATAAAACCCGCAAGAGATTGGAAGCATCAAACTCGCTTATTAATTTTAATACGTTATGAGAACCACTGTTGCAGTTAGGACTAAATTAATATGCTAACTTGATTAATGATTTCCAAAAATTAAAAAAAGATCAGAATTTCGTTTTAGTCAATCCTCTCTTTTAAAAAATTTGGATATACAAAAGTACTTGGTGAAAATATTTCTACTAGGATGATGTACGTTGATAGAGAATATACGATATATTTATGCGATAATTTTATAAATCAGTTAAAGCACACTCACATAATTTGATCATAAGTTTGTGCAATTTTTTTTTTCAATTATTCTGTTTTATTACTTCTTTATTAAAACCACTTTCCTATTTATTTATATTATTATTAGTATATTTGTATTTAAGCCTACAATTTACTATAAATTCAAAAGATATGAACGATCATATGATATGTTAATATTTTCAGTTTAATTAAATATCATATCGCCGGTTTTGTGGTTTCTTTTTTTCCCATACGCCTTACGATTTTTTATACACGATATCGACGTTTACATGACGTATAAACGCTTATTTCGGATATGCCGCATTATTTTATATCAGATGATTAGTTGGTCAAAATATGAGACCCAAGGAAAAAATTCGTATATAAGTACATAGTGAGTTCTAATCAGGTCCATGCTTCTTCTTGACTAATAGAGAACACCAAAATGCTATTAGCTAGCACGAGGCATAAATGCCTGTATAAATTTGAAATCGACTTAGTTAATTGCCATGTTTATGGCATTGTTAGAATAATTGTTATTTATTATTTAATTATTGGTGAGCTCAATATAGTTAAGACCGAGCTATAATGGTTCCAAATTTTAATTGTATGGGCCTGTCGTTTTTGAAAAAGTTTATTGATTGGAACGTTAAGTTGGTAATAAATTGATACTTGGTGGATTTCGAAAGATATCGTAAAGTGCTAATCAGCAGATAATCAATAAAGGAAACAAATAAACAGTTGTTTGGAGGTACATGAATAGGTATATTGGCTCAAAATAAAGTACCTACTTCTAATTCTATTTTTAGTCTTTCATAAATTTTAATAGAAATATTCAGAGAAATGTTGAGGATATTGGACTAAAAACTTTCGTTCACTCATTTTCGCAACGTAAAATACAAAGGCTATTCTTGGTTAACGTTTAGATACTTATAAAGCCATAAAGTGCTAAAGTGGAATTTTTCTCTATCCGCATAAAATACTAGCTGCCCTTTGAAGAGTATAAAAATGTACTTGTATTTACCTTTACCCTGGTACTATTTAGAACTCCGTATTATATCACAAATACCATAAGACATTTTCCTTGGTCTACAATTCTAGTCTGACTCTAGCACTATCCAGTAATATAAGTAC